TGCTTGTTCTTCTTGTTGCTGCTTGATAAGAGTTCTTTATACATTCTGGATTCTTCATGACTCTGCAAGGGGCTTGCACTTTCACTTTATGCCAACAGCCCGGAAGTCAGGCGAGGCGGCAGGGCTGTGGAACGGCACATGCAGGTGGCTCAGCGGGGCCCAGGCTGGCATGGGAAGCACCAGCAAGCAACCCTGGTCCTGCCCCACCGCAGCAGGAACAACCTCTGGTTGCTTCAGTGTTCTCCTCTGCAACAAGAGGTGTGACAACAGAATCCACCTCACAGAGCTGCTTCATTGAATAAACGACTTTAAGGACATAAAGCATGGAGCAGAGAATGTAGCCCAGAGTAGGTGCTCCATTAATGTTAAACAGCATTACTATATAAATTGTACAATGCAAGAAGATCAAACCAGTCAATCCTAAAGGAAATCAACCTTGAATATTCACTGGAAGGTCTGATGCTGAAGCTGAAGCTCTAATACTTTGACCACCTGATGCAAACTGCTGACTCATTGGAAAAGACCCTGATGCTGGGAAAGATTGAAGACAGGAGAAGAGGCTGACAGAGAATGAGATGCTTGAATAGAATCACTGACTCAGTGGACACGAGTTTGAGCAAACTCCAGGAGATGGTGAAGGACAGAGGGGCCTGGCATGCCGCAGTCCTCGGGGTCACAAAAAGCCGGACATGACTTAGTGACTTAAGAACAACAATGCTCTATCGTCAAAGGAATGTCCACTGAAGTGTAGCCTTTGCCTCCCAATGTTATAAACCTAAAAGCAAATCACACTACTGAGGGTTAGCTAGTCACCTGGAAAATGTTTCCTTTCATGAAGCAAAATAGACCATTTTTCCTTTTAGAAAAATCTCCTCAAAATATTTAAGTAGCTGCTTAAAGCAAAGATAATTATGGAGTATTCTGGCGGGGAGGGGTGGTGGTCGAAAAATATGTAAAAGGAAATGTATGAAAACCAGAGGACAAGAGACGGGGGAAGGATATTGTAATGAGTTTCTTACTCTGTGTGAAGCTGTGTGTGATGCGATGCTAGGTGGGGACACATAGACTTCAAAGCAAGAGCTAAACAAACAAAAAGAAGACAAAGAGGTAAAGCTAATAAGCAGATGGAGAATGAGAAGAAAGGAGAGACAGAGAACAGAAGACAGAAAAAACCAAGAAGGCATCCTTCAGCCCAACCATCTCTGGGGACGTCACTGAATAGAAATGATCTAAACATCCTCCCAAATAAAAGGCTGAGATGGTCAGGTTGATTACACGAGTGAGACCCAACCATTCGCTGTCCACAGGTCATGCACTTTATTTTTAAACAGTTGCTATCTTCCTCTTTTAATTAATTAACTTGTCTGCGCTGTCTTGGTTGCAGCTTGCAAGATCCAGTTCCCTGACCAGGGATCGAGCCCAGGCTCCCTGCATCAGAAGCCCAGAGTCTTAGCCCCTGGACCGCACAGGTCGTCCACTTTAAAGGTGAAGACAGAGACGTGAAAATAGGGATGGGAGGTTAGCCGCCGGGCTCTGTCCATCTGGACCACCTGGACCCAGATCTTTGTGCACCAGGGTTGCTCTGAACACACGTAGACATGCACCACACGCCTTCCCCATCTGTGTGTTACTACACTTTGGCAAGGGGCTTCCCAGGCAGTACAGTGGTGCAGAATCCGCCTGCCACTGCAGGAGCTGCAGGAGACAAGCGCTCCATCCCTGGGTCGGGAAGGTCCCCTGGAGAAGGAAATGGCAACTTGTCTGGGTTCTTGTCTGGAGAGTCCCATGGACAGAGGGGCCTGGTGTGCTACAGTCCCTGCGGTCACAAAGAGTAGGACTCGATTGAGCACCTTGCAGGGGAAATAACAGCACAAGGAGCAAACCCTGGTAAACCCAGGGCTTTGACCAACAACAGTGTATCAGTCTGCGTTCACCAGTTGTAACAGATGTGTCCTATTCATGCAAGATGTGAATAATAGGGGGCTCTGAGGGGTATGGAAGGCTACACACCATCAGCTCTATTGTGCAAACTTCAAACTGTCCTGAAATTAGTCTATCAGTTATTGAAAAGCACAGCAATCAACTAGAAAAGATGGTGGTTGGCACTGAGGAAGCGAAAAGGGGTGGGCGCCTGACCTGGGAAGTGGAGGAGCCCCGAGGCTGCTGTCGCTGGCGTTCTGATTCTCCGCCAAGTTCGCCCGGGCTACTCCTGCGCTTAACACTTATCACTTCCTGGCATTAATTACCGCTGCTCCTCCCCACTTACAAGTAGCTTATCAACAAGCATCTCGTGGGCGCATTGCTGGGATGTCTGATAACATGCCGAGGTGGCTGCAGGAGCTTCCAGAAGCTTCCAGCCTTGATCGTGGCTTAGGGGGGCACAGCTCAGCGTGGCAGTGCCCGGGTGGGCTCAGATGTCCGGCTGGACGGGCCGTGAGAGGGGTCTCTGCAAGCCAACCTGGGCGACGCCAGCCCCCCTCGCCCCCGCCAGCCCTGGTGGTCAGCCACCTCACCCCCCATCTGGCCCCGCCCTGCTCCCCGGCCGCCGGCAGCAAGAGGCAAGAGAGAGGAAATAAGTCTTCGGTGCTGCGTGAGGCTGGGCCAGTCACTCAGCCTCTCTGTGCTCAGGCCTGATGTCCAAGCTGCCCCTGGATCCCAGGGTTAATGAAGAGAGGCTGTGATCAGCACATCTCAAGACCTGGCCTCCAAGCACCAAGGCCACACGGAGACCTTCACACTCAAACTTGTCTCGCACAGCCTTGTGGGCCCATTTCTCAGAGCAGACAGCCGAGGCGCAGGGGTCCCGGGCTGCTGGCAATGGCGAGTGGGCTTCCTGGGTGCAGGCACCCACCGTCCACCTCGCTTGCCAGGGAGAGTCTGGAGGGGAGGGAGTTCTGCTCCCGAGGGGTCCCCTGGCGTCAGGGGTCCCCCTGCGCCCGGGGAGCAGTTCAAGGTTGACAAGCTAGCAGGCCCAAGTGCTCACTGGTCTCCACGCTGCCCATGGAGAAGCGAGCGCGTGTGTTTTCTATCGACGGAAATCCTCCTGAGCTGGACTCGGTCATTTCGCTCCCACTCCAGGGGACTCTGCGGTCCCTGCGGCTACGTCCCAGCGCCCAGGAGGGGCTTTCATCCCACGGAGGGCTCCGGCAGTGTCGCCGCCAAGCAACGGGAAGAACTTATTTTAGGAAGACGAGAATCCACCTACCACTTAGTGAGGCGTCCGGGCTAATTGCGAAGCTGTTCTCAGTTTCCTTATTTAGCTATTTATTAAACTGGCTCAAAGTGGAATTAATGGCTGAGCCAGCCTCGTGGCTCCTCCTGTGTGTGTCCTGGGGCACCCCCATAGCAATTTCGGCCTGATTAAAGGCTCCGCCAACCCACCACCTCATTCGGACCCACAGCTCAAAGCACCAGACCCAGGAATGCGCGGCCCGTGGCTTGCAGGCCTGGCTGCCACTGGTGAGCCCATTTCTGCCTCAACAATCCACGCCCTGGCCCCCCGCCCACACTGCATGCTGCCCAGCTGCTGCGTGAGTACCTGCCTTGGCCTGGGCCAGCTGACCCCAGCACCCACCCCAGGAACCCTCCAAGCCCTGGACATCCTCTGCCCATCACCTCACTGTTGACTTTGAGGCACTCTTCGCAGTTTGAGGTGGCCCCATGTATCTATTTGCCTGCCATTCCAGAATGTACAGTCCAGGAAGCCAGGGCCTCACCTTCCCACTTGCCCTAAGTCACTAGACTTTAGAATATGGCTGGGTATACAGCTGGCTTCTCAGATGGAGCTGGTGGTGAAGAACCCGCCTGTCAGTGCAGGAGACATAAGAGATGCAGGTTCAATCCCTGAGCCGGGACAATCCCATGGAGGAGAGCACGACGACCCACTCCAATTGTGAAGCTGTTCTCAGCTTCCTTATTTAGCTATTTATTAAACTGGCTCAAACTGGAATTAATGGCTGAGCATGGCGTGGCAGGAGGGCATGGCAGCCCACACCAGCCTGGTGGGCTAGAGTCCATAGGGTTGCACAGTCAGACATGACTGAGCGCCTAGCACGCACGCGTGCATGCAGCTGGCGCTCAGCCAGCAGGCATTGAATGTCTCAGTTTTACATGGAAGGGAAGGAGTCAGAGGCCAGCGGGGAGACTTCGGTCCTGAAGAGGAGCTCTCGGTGAAAATCAGAGGGGCCGACAGTGGCACGAGACCTTGACTTCACTAGGATGCACTGGACTGCACAGTCTAGCAGGCGGATTGCACGAGCTGTGAATTCTCTCCACAAGGCTGAAGAGACACAAAAGGAGAGCCCTGGTCAGCCTGTGTGCTCTTGTGTATACCCAATCGAAATGCATGCACATGTACCCCAAAAGGCATGTGCTGGAAAGTTCTCTGAAGCTTTGGTTAGAAAAGCCCCAAGCTGGGCTCCACCCAAACCCACATGGAGAGGAGAGTGCACAGCCTGACCCTGCCGTTGGATCCTTGAGAACACCTGACCTGCAGCCTACCCAAGCGCCGATCAGACAGATGCCGAGATTAATGAAGCCAGACTCCAGAGCACAGACTTTGGATGATTCCTTCACAGAAAGCAGAAGCAGGCAGAATTCAGATATGCTGATAGGAGTCAGGAGCGGTTACCCTCGGGGCGTGGTGCAGGGTGTGGCTCTGTCTTGATCACGACGCTGGCTGTGTAGGCAAGTCACCCAGCTGGGCACATGTCTGTGTGTGCATCAGATGTCAATGCAAGTTTCTCAAAGTTAAGGTTCAGTTCAGTTCAGTTCAGTCACTCAGTCCTGTCCGACTCTGCGATCCCATGAATCGCAGCACGCCAGGCCTCCCTGTCCATCAACCAAGCATAGACAGCCACAGGGTGAGACCAGGGTGGTAGGCAGATTTGGGGGTAAGGTTCCCCCACCCGCTAGCTAGACTCAAGTCCTCGCTTTTCTGGATGAATTTGGTTCCTTCTAAGTTTTCTCACCTGCACGGTGTGAGCGATGGTGGCCCCCACCTACGAGGGCTGCTCTGAGGACCCAGGGAGCAGGGAGCAGGGGAGTCCGACCCCGCACAGGCCAGGCGAGCTGCTGCCCTTCTGACTCGGTCAGCTGGGCATCCTCAGAGTTCCTGGAGAGGGTGTTAAGCACCTCTCCTTCCCGTAAATGTCCACACCTTGATCTGGGGAACCTGAGGATACACTGCCTTATGTGGCAGAGGGGACTGTGTGGATGTGACAAAATACAGGTTGAAGTGAAGCTAAGGGGGTGGGCTTCCCAGGTGGCACAGTGGTAAAGAACCTGCCTGCCAATGCAGGAGACACAAGAGATGTGGGTTTGATCCCTGGGTTGGGAAGATCCCCTGGAGGAGGGCGTGATAACCCACTCCAGAATTCTTGCCTGGAGAATCCCATGGACAGAGGAGACTGGGGGTCTACAGTCCTTAGGGTCACAAAGAGTCAGGCATGACTGAAGTGACTTAGCACGTACATACACATGAAACCAAGGGGAGATGACTCTGGATTATCCGGACGGACTCGAGTCATCACAAGGATTCTTTCAAGAGGGAAGCAGGAGATCAAAGCCAGAGACGAAGACATGATAGTGGAGGCAGAGGTTGAAGGGATGAGGTCGCCAGCCAAGGGATGCTTGCATCCTCCAGGAGTTGGAAGAGGCAGGAGCACAGACCCTGTCCAGAAGCTCATTGAGGACTCTGACCTCCACAACTACAAGAGAGAATCGGTTTGTGTGCTTTGAAGCCACCCAGTTGTCACTGCTGGTCAGAGTGGCCACGGGCTGCCTGTAGGCTGGGCCTCCCCCATCCTGCCCGTGTCCCACTTGGACACGCCCAGAGCCAGGCCCTGCACTCAGGATCCATGTGGCGGGCCTTCAAGGGGCTGTGTAAACCATACAGCCCCACTCTTGTCACACAGGCTGGGCCGGTGCCCTGGTGATGGAGGAGGGACGGGGGAGACCCTCAGGCTAGATGTGGAGCTCGGCCCAGGCAGGACCAGCAGTCTCCTGAGTGCATCAGGGTCTCCTCTCCTGGGGCCTTGGCTGCCCCAGCCCAGAACCCGTGCCTGTCATTGTGATGGGGACTGGGGGGTAGCGGGGAGATGAGGCCCCTGCAGAAGGGTCCTGGTGGGGCCCCCTCGGCTTGACAGACAGCAGCAAGCCCCCAGGGCTCACCCAGGACACCTGCGAACACCCTCCACCATCCTGTCTCCACCCAACACACATTTATGGGTGACCCTGCTCTGCCCCAGTGTGGCCAGAAGTGGGGGGACACAGAGGTGAGCAAACACCAGTGGGGTCTCCGCCCCAGGCAGCCTGGAGTCCAGCCGGGAAGACAGATGGTGATCACATCATGCAAGCTGGGCTGTGAGGGACTTAGGAGGGGGTGACCAGCCAGGAAAATCTGGGAAGAACTACCTGGGGAGGTGATAATTGAACTGGGGGGTGGGGAGTTCAGGGATGATGGAGGAGATGGAGCCAAGGCCAGAGGAGTAGGCGCAGGCTGAATCCTCACCTCATAGAAGGTTCTGGAAGGCTACAAGCTGGGGGTAAGGTGACCCAGTCTGCTTTGGGGGAGACCACTCTGGCTGTCCCATGGGGACTGAGGGCAGAGGGCTCTGACCAGCGCTCACCCAGGGGCCCCTCCCTGCGGGAGGCAGTGCCACCATCCCCACCTGAACGCTGCGCCCCAGGCCTGGGACCCCTGGCTGCATCCTGGAAGCTGGCTCCGGAGAGTCCTCCCCTCTGCTGGCCTGTGTGCAGTGGGGGCAGGGCCCACAGGGAGAGGCGGTCCCAGCAGGGCGGCTCCAAATGGTGCCAACTCTGCAGCCTCCAGAGCCCCCCACCCTGCCCCGTCATAAACCCATCCCAGCTCCTCCTCTGCCGGCTCACCGACCTGCATCCAGGTGCAAATTGAGCCCCGCAGAGGACAAAACGGCTTTGATGAACCAAATGGCGGGTTTGATGTTGTTGTTGTTAAGGGAGGTATTGCACCGGCCTCAGGCACACAGGCACGGTGTCCCGGGGAGACTCTGGCCCAAGAAGGGCGGGAAGGGTTTCTTTTATGAGCCTCCCTCTCCCCACGACTGACCAGGCCTCTTCCGAGAGCAAGGGCCTCGGCCCGAAAGCCTGTCCCTGAAGTCAGGGGCTTTGAAAGAGAAGGGACAGGGGTTCTCACAGGGACTGGAAAAAGCAGAAAACGCCAAGCCAACAGTGATGGGTCCCAAGGCCTTCTCTAGGTGGGGTCTCGAAAGAAGCTGGGGCACAGAGGGTCTAGGCCCTCCCAGCCTTACCTGGCCCTGCAGCCTACCACAAAACTCAGAGAGTCCTGACCCCAACAGAGATGTCTCAGCTGTTCAGAGCTGATCAAGCCCTTTCCTGGGCATCTTAGATGCCAAGACATGGGCAGGCAGGATGGATCCTCGCCTGCTTCTTCGCAGACAGAGATGCTGAAGACAAAAAGATGGGAAAACCGGGTGCTTTCTCATTCACCTCCCACTGGACATTGCCCCCTCCCCATATTTGGAGATTCCCATCCTTCCCTTGGACCCTGCAGAAAAGGAAGTGGGCTATTTTGGGTGCTTTTGACTCAAATTACTCCCCCCGCTCCCCACCCAATCCAGGCACATCTGGCTAACCTTAGACTCCTACTAAAAGCCTCCTCGGCTCCCCCACAATCCATTCCCCAAAGGCACCTGCTGATCTTTCCAAGTGCAGGGCACCACAGTTGTCCCACTTCCCCTCACCCTTGGCCTCTGAGACCCACTCAACAAAGCTGCCACCCCTCTGGCTTCCAGGCAGCCAGCTTCATCTGCAGGAACTCACGGGCCAGGGCTGCCCTGCTCTTGGCCAGTAGTCACTGGCCTGGGGTTCTGGAAAATTCTCTGGCCTCTCTCTGTAGCTGGATACGAATTTGGACCAAGTTGCTAATCTCACTGCCTCTGAAAGCTGAGGCATGAGGGCTGACCTCCTCGGCCATCTTCTACTGCCCGTCTTCCACATTCCTTCAAAGACATCCCACCCCTGCCTCAGGCGTGAATGTGGACAAGAGACCCCCATCTCTGCCCCTGCCCCACTGAGGCAAGGCTGGCTGGACCAAAACTCTGGGCTCCTGAAAGGGGAGAGGAATTGCTCATCACCAATTCCTTCCAAGCTGACTTACTGAGCACTCGCTATGTGCCAAGCCCCTTCCAAGGTCCTGAGGATGCAGCTGCGTGTTGGAGAGGGTCCCTGTGCCCCTGACCAGGCCATTCCTGAACTCCACTCAGGATAACACTCCAGGCCTGTTAGGGGGTCCGTTCATTTTACCCATTTTCATAGCCCAACAAAAGCCTCAAGAGCATGGGCTTTGTTGGCTGGCTGACCCGGTTTCAAGCATGAGCTCGCCACCTGCAAGCTAAGTGACTGGGCAAATTATAAAAGTCACAACCATTAATAGTGGAGTTGTTTATTGTGTATTTTGCTGAGTTCCTGGACATCAGTTATAAATAAAACCTTCCTCACAGTTAAAAGAGAAACCATCATCGTAATGGCTGAAACGAGTAGTGCACCAGTAGATGCCAAGAGCGCTCCACGTGCTCGACGCGACGTGACCGTTTGGTTATCCCGAGATTGCGGGGCGGGCACCAGGGTCATCACGTTGTAGGGAAAAGGCAAGGGAGTGCGGGGAGAAGTCTGTTGCTCATGGCAGTGTGCTCCCTGCTCTGAGCCTCTGGTCTGGCCCCAACGGCCTGCAGTGGACACATATCAGTGCAAGAGACTGGAGACTGGCTGGGGTAAAACGATACGGATTAATTCTCTTTCGGTGTGGGGCCCAGACATCCAAAATTAGAGTGCTGCAGGGTGGTACCTCCGGAGGCTCCCGGGGAGGATCCGTCCTGCCTCTCCCATCTTCCAGGGTCCAAGGCTGCATCCCTCCAGTCTCTGTGCTCACGTGGCCTGCTTCCTTCTGTGTCTGCAGGTCCCTCTCTGCCTGCTCTGTCTTATAAAGACACCCATTGTCAGATCTCAGGCCTACCTGGGGGATCCTCGACGACTTCAGCTCTAGAAAGTGTTAGTCGCTCAGTCGTGTCCAACTCTTCGTGACCCTGTGGACTGTAGCCCCCCAGGCTCCTCTGTCCATGGGATTCTCCAGGTAAGAATACTGGAGTGGATTGCCATTCCCTTCTCCAGGGATCTTCTTGCCCCAGGGTCTGAACCTGGGTCTCCCCCTTGCAGGCAGACTTTTTACCATCTGAGCCACCAGGGAAGTCTCCAGCTCTGGAGCCTTATCTCAACTCCATCAGAAAAGAACTTTGTGTTAAATAAGTCCGCATTCCAGGGTCCTATGTCTTTTGGGGGGCTACCAGTCAGCCGTCTCCAGAGGCCTTCTAAGGCATTGGGCCTGGGGAGAGGGCTCCTCTTTTCCAGATCTCAGGACAGTGCTCCTACGGGCTTTGATGTTCACAGAGGAGTTTGGACCTTTGTGCTGAAGGCAGACAGCACATAAAAAAGCAGAGGCATCACTTTGCCGACAAAAGTCCACATAGTCAAAGCTGTGGTTTTTCCAGCGGTCATGTATGGATGTGAGAGTTGGACCATAAAGAAGTCTGAGCGCTGAAGAATTTATGCTTTCAAACTGTAGTACTGGAGAAGACTCTTGAGAGTCCCTTGGACAGCAAGGAGATCAAACTAGTCCATCCTAAAGGCAATCAACACTGAATATTGATTGCAAGGACTGATGCTGAAGCCGAAGCTCTAATACTTTGGCCACCTGATGTGAAGTGCTGTCTCATTGGAAAACACCATGATTCTGGGGAAGATGAAGGACAGGAGGAAAAGGGGATAACAGAGGATGAGAAGGTTGGATGGCATCACAGATTCAATGGACATGAATTTGAACAAATTCTGGGAGATGATGAAGGACAGGGAAGCCTGGTATGCTACAGTCCATGGGGTCGCAAAGAGTTGGATGCGAATTAGCGACTGAGCAACAACGACATTTTTCAAGTGGGAAGCAAGTTCAGATCAGCAGCCTGGAAATACTGCAAGGACTTGGGGAATTGAGGGGTCTGATCAAGATGAGCTAGGAGCCCAGAACACTGGCTAAGATGTCATAAAGGATCCCCGGAGAGGCCCTTCTGGCTGTTCCCGGCTAAAGCCCCATATCTGGAGGGGCCCGAGCTGAACCAGGAGGCATCCTTGGTCTTCTCACCTTAGACCAACCTTTCTTGCTTCTGCCTCAAACCCTCTTGGCTCAGAGGTTCCACCTGCATGACCAAATCTGGGCTGGAAACCGCTCGCTGGGGTCTTTCCTCCCCGCTATATTCCAGATGCTCCTGCCTCCAGCCCTGGCCACACGCAGGAGCTCAGCGGTGAGAGGCCAGTGGTGCAGACGTGTCCAGAGCCTGGTGCTTCCATCCCGGGCGGCGGGGGTGGCGGGGGAGGGAGGATTAGCTGCCCTCTCCCCAGAAGGCTCTCCCCTTCCGGGTGTCCAGTCTCCCACCAAATGTTTTTGATTTTACAGGAAGTAGAACAAGGGGCTAATCTGAGTTTAATTTTTGAAGCCAGGCCTTTGATTTAATACTTATTCATCTAAGTAATTAATGCCTCTGAGTCTGGGGTCAGAAGGCATCTGAGTTTAGCCCGTCTCCTCCTTTATGTCCAGAGACAGACCTCACAGCACTCGGTACCACCAAACCGTTCATTTATACCAATTGGGACATTCCAAGGGCCCAGCGCAGTTACCAAACAGGACTTTGTACGGTGCTCCACCATCACCATTAAGCCCATTATCCTCCACCTTCCCCGGGTCCTGGGCGGAAGGCCCTCCCACCCTGGCCCAAAACCTGCTCCCAAGCCTGGTCCTTTCTCCCAGGAGGTATTTGGAGAGAGTGTGGGATAGAGAATGTTCTGGGCTGTGAGACGTTTCCCCAAACCCAGACCTCGTTCCATCCACAGGCATCTACTGAGTGCCGACTCTCTGACAAATGCTAGTAGATTCGTACCACTGAGGTCCTGAAGCAGAATCACACAGACACACAACTCCAGCATCTCAGGGCAGGCGGGCTCCAGAGGTAGCAAGGGCACAACGCTGACCTGGGCACAGAGGTGAGAGGGCCAGAGAGGGCGGGGGCAGGACCTCACTGCCCAGGACTGAGCCTCGGAGGTCGTTTGTGGACAGATTCTGGAGGGCGTTTCATACAGGAGTTCCTAGGGGGAAATTTTTTTTTTTTTTTTTCTGTCTTTCTTTTTTTAAAAGCACAGGATGAAACCACCTCCTTGATTGACCTTGAGTCTGCCGGCAAGTCCACCTTGTCCTCATCTTACTGTTAGCTTCACTTCCCATCATCTCACGGATGGTCAGCACACAGGTCCCGGTTCCCAGCATCTGAGCACCCAGAGGTTCACAGTGTAGGGATTACAAACCACTGTGGCTCCTGTTTTATAGACGGAGAGACAGCGCTTGATTCAGGGCAGACCTTGGACCTTGCAGGCCCCGGGATAACCACTGTTTTGGTGGCTCTGGGATGGCGAGGAGAGGCTGATGTTCGTGGGAGCCGGACTGCATCAGTGCTGATCAGAGAAGAGGGGCAAGGGGACAGACCCACAGCCCTTCCCTCGAGCTCGGGGCCCGGGTGGCCAACCCGAAGGGCCCTCAGAAGAGAGGGCCTGCCCTGGGGACCACACGTGGAGTTCAGCCACGGATAGTTCCTCTGGTGAGAAGATAAGTACTTAGTCCTATGAATCCCTTATGCCCACGTGAACCCAAGGATAATCCCAGCAAGGGGGAGAGAAGGACACCAGCTCTGGGCAAAGCTGGGACGTGCCCGTCCTTTCTAGCCTCTAGACATCTGAGGGCTCGGCGTGGACCACGCCAGACGGGGGCGGCTGCTCCCTTCCAGGGAGACGGGGGCTTCCAGCTGCTGAGTGGCCCGCTGCTGGGACCCAGGGAATCCCAGGGTGAGGATTTTCACCTTGCTTGTTCATTACTGCACAAGCCTGGCTGGTGACGGTCATGCAGAAGGCTTTGGGGAAGGAACCACCACCCGTGTTCAGTGTCGGGCGAGTGTGGACGTGATGCCTCTGGCCCTCATACAGGGCTCTGCCCTGAGCTATAGCACTGAGCGTCACAGTCAGCAAAGCCCCAGAGCTGGGGACACTTGTAGGTGCCTGTGCTACCCCAGCACGGAGTTTCCATTAGGCTTCTTTTGAGTCTCAAAGGGGTTGATCATTCCCCGAACCCCTGGCATCCCTCTCACAGGTTTGTAAAACCATCCCTGCTCCCCGGAGACACCAGGGGCACCCCCTCAGGCTGCAGGAGCAGAAGAGGAGTGTTGTCCACTCCAACAGGGCCAGAGAGGCTTCGCAGAGCAGGGGGCTTTGGAGAAGGCCTGCCCCTACTACAACCAAGAAGTGGATGAAAAGTAGAGTCTGACCAGTGAAATTGTTCATTTCATCCCATAAACTGACCCAGATCCTGGGTTGGACGCCAGCCCTCCACATCTTAGCTGATGCTTCGGGGTGAGTCACTGTACCTCTCTCAGCCTGTTTCCCCATCATAAGACAAGTTATTCATAGAACCTGGCCCCAAAGGCTGTCAAAAAAATTAAATGACCCTCAGAGACTGCTAGGATAATTTTCTTAACTGTGAATTAGAAGTATGGTACCAATTCCACACTATATGAATCTCAAAACATTTTATACTATTAAAAAGCAAATCATTCTTAAGACTATTAAAATGCTGTTATTAGAATATATCAAATGAAATTACTCTTCTTAAAACTGTGAAAGTAAAAGTGTTAGTCACTCAGTCATGTCCAACTCTTTGCCACCCCATGGACTGTACTTCACCAGGCCCCTCTGTCCATGAAATTCTCCAGGCAAGAATACTGGAGTGGGTCCATTTCCTTCTCCAGGGGATCTTCCTGATCCAGGGATCAAACCCAGGTCTCCTGCATTGCAGGTAGATTATTTACCATTTGAGCCACCAGGTAAGCCTCTTATAGCTGTAAATCCTAAAATAAAGCTTAATGGCATTTGCCCTAAGACCCCACCTCACCCCTGCCCCCACAAAAAGAGAAATTGCTAGTACAGGAAGGGACTGATGGGAAGAATCACTCAGTACTCACCGTCTGCTGGTCACGAGGTCAAAACACCCAGTAGAGGCCAGGTTCTGGGCCCAAATCTGGGAGCCCATTGAACACCAAGAACCTGACCTCAGGGAGCTCAGAGTGTAGCCAAGAGAGGTCAGCACAGGATACCTGCCCCGCCCCTCCTCGGGCAATCTCTCGTCCAGGGACCTGGTCTCTGAGCAAAGTCCTAAAGAATAAGGTACCAGCTGGAGGGTGGGGGAAGGGCAACTAAGGAGAGGATGCAGGGCTCCCTGCTTCCCCCCCACACACACACACAGACACAAGCACACACCACACACACACATGCACGCTCATATGTACGCAGGTATGCACAAGTGAGCATGCGCCAAGCATATACATGTGCACACATAAGCCCAAGGCAAACACATGTGTGCACAGGACCAGAATGAGCACCGCCCACACAAACACACATCTATGTAGGCAGGTGCACACGTATCTACACGCACATGAAGGCACCACACACACGTGTGCGCAGGTACTCAGGTGAGCCTACACCAAGCATGCTAGCGTGCACACACACACAGGAGCAGGCTGGACCACACATATGCGTGTTTGTGCAGACGCTCACGTGTCCACACGCAGCGAGCAGAGACACACGCAGCGAGCAGAGATGCACAGACACCCGAGAGCGTACACAGTCACGCAGAGACCCACAAGTGCAGGCACGCACACGCCCGCACACTCACACGGGGCACTCCGCACGGGAGGCCATCTCCTGCCCGCTGCACCCAGACGACAGACTTCCCTTGGCCCCAAAGGAGATCCCTGCGGTCCCTCCTCTTAGGTTGAGAATAAACACAGCAAACCCCCGAGCCCCACAGAACAGTGCCATCTTGTGGTGGCAGCAGGACCACGTGGCCTTCTTTGGGGACGGCTTTTCCTAGAGCCGCTTCCAAGGTGGGCTGACAGCTGGGGCAGGCACTCAGCCACCCTTTTGTTTGAGAGCAGTGGGGTGTTCTGGTCTGCTCTGGGGCACCCTCCCTCTCCTGCCGGACCTGGGATCACCTGGGCACTGAGTCTGGCCCTGCTGTGGGTTTTAGGAAGCCCCCTTCCCTCCCTGGGCTTCATTTGCCTCATCCGGAAAATGGGGCCTTTACCCTGATGCTTGCCTGTGTCTAGAGCTGCTGCTGACCTGCCCTGGGACTTCCCCAGAATAGGCTGTGCTGCCCCTAAGACGGGCTTGAAGCGGGAGCTACCCAGGCATCTCCTCTTGACCCTTTAGACATTGATTAGCTAGGGATCAGACCCAGGGCCTCCTTGCTCTTTGGCAGACCACCAGACACTGCATCTACCGGGCAGTCATGAGAAATACAGGAACGCGGGCACCGCGGAGAACTTCTGAGCCCAGAGGGCTGGGACCGCGCCCTCCGGAATACCCTTCCCTGGGTACCCATCGGAGTAACCACCTCTGTGCCTCTGTGTCCTCATCCAGGAAAAGGGGCCAAGATCAGAACCTGTCCGGCAGCGTTCTGGGTCAGGTTAAAGGAAACCTATTCCATGCAAAGTGCTGAGCCCAGCCCCTAGTCTACAGAATTGCACAATAAATGTCAGTGGGTAGGGGCAGGAGCGGCTCTGCCCCATCACATGATCCCCTCCCCTGTCCTAAGCATAGTTAATTTTGAGCTTCACCTCCAGAGTTTGGGGAGAGCCTCTCGGAGACAGGAGGAGGAGGCCGTGACTCCTGCAGCCCCACCGTGGACCTGGAAGGTAAGGGACGGCACTGCGGCTAGAGACCCCGATTTCAAAGGCATCGGAGGTGGGCCCGGCTTCTCGCGCTTCCATAATTCGCTGTGCACCAATTAATCTTTCGCTGTTGATATAAGCATGAGCCCTGCGGCGGCTCCATACCCTCCCGGGGAGGACGCGTCCCGCTCAGGCTCCGATGGGGCTTTCCTTCATTTGGCACGATGTTAATTTCCCCCGAGTCTCCTGGAAAGAGGTTTTAGCATAAAATGGGAAGCTTGGCAGGAATCTGACACCTGAAACAGCCGCGGAGACGAGAGGAGGGATTGCGACATTTGCTAACTGCCAATTGAGCTCTAACGTGATGGGCTGAGGGTCTTGGAGGAAAGTCTCCACCGCCAGGCTGTGCTGGTTCCCAGGCTGGGACACCCCCGTGGGCGCACCATCCTTCTAGGACCTAAGAGGAACAACAGGGACATTTCCTCTTGGAAAACCAGAGAACGCTGGGAGGCTTGCGGTCCGGAGCATCTCTGCTGAAATCCAGCTGGGTGGACGAGGGCAGGACCCTTCTCCTCCCCGATCATCTCTCAGGTGAGGGCCACGGCCTTCCCGGACCACTACCAGAGCCCTACCTCCAAACCTCCCCAATGAGGATCCCCAAAGGTGGCCTGTGTGCCTTGGCCCCGCCCCGTGGTCTGCCTACAGCAGACCCAGAGCCAGGACAGAACCTTCAAACTCAAGCTCTGAGGTCCTGTGCAAACTTGGCTTTTGGAAGCACCAGGTGTGCTCAGCGTTTGGGGTAGGAAAGCTGGAGCCGTCGCCGCATCGCCTCCTGCCAGCGGGAGCTCTTTCGGGAGGCCGGGTCTGGCAGAGCATGGAGCCACCGACACTCCCCGCTGCTCAGCTTCGAACCCTTTCAGCAGCTTCCAGTAAGCACCAGGGTAAAATGCCCCAAAGTGCAAACCAGATCAAATGGCGTGCCCAGGCGCTTGCATTTCTGTTGCAGACGTGTGTGTATGCACACAGGATGGACCGCCAGCCTGGCAGGGCTCTCCGGTGCCCACGAGGGTGGCCTTTGCCCTGCCGGTCCCCACCAGCAGCTCCAAACAAACACACCATCTGAGTGAAGAGAGCTCACATCTGCTTTGCAGCAGTTTGCTGACCTGGGGCCCTTGCGCTCAGTCTGCTGTCCCAAAGCCCTCCCCACAAGTAGAAATGCCGCCTGAGGTGAGCTGGACGCACAACAGCACCTGTTACCTGCAGATGTGCGGGTGCGCTGAGAGGGAGCTGACCCCGGGACCCCCTCAGCCCGTGCAGCTCAGCTGTCACCCTACAGGCCCTGGCTGAGCCTGACTTCGTAGGCCCGTGTCCTGCTCCAAGGGGGGTCCAGGGCCCCCTTCCAGGCCCTGGTGGCCCCTGCGCTCTGGCTCCAGAGAGCCGGGGTCCCTGGGGAGGGAGCGTGTGCCTAATTGCCGTTCCAGCTCGTTAGACAGACTAATGAGAGGAAAAGCGGAGAGACAAAGAGAGAGCGGATCCTCGGCTCCCCCCCAATCGGAGCCAGCCTTTGTGCTCTGTCCTGATTTCCTGTCCCCCAACCTCAGGACTAGGGGGACCAGCCCAACAACAGCCACGCCAGTAACAGGCCCAAGTGGGGTCATATGTGCCTCCCGTGAGCCAGATTCTATGCTAAGCACATTGTCCTCCAGAATCTTCTGGAACCTTCTCAATAGCCCAGAAGCAATCTCTGCTATTGCCCCTGTTTTTTTGTTTGTTTGTTTGTTTGTTTAACTTTTTAATTTTGCATTGGGATATAGCCAATTAACAACATTGTGATAGTTTCACATGAACGGCAGAGAGACTTAGCCATAGCATGTATACAAGTATCCATTCTCCCCCAAGGGGCTCCCCAAGTGGCTTAGCGGTAAAAGGGTCTGCCTGCCAATGCAGGAGATGCAAGAGACATGGGTTTGGATCTCTGGGTCAGGAAGATCCTCTAGAGCAGGAAATGGCAACCCACTCCAGTATTCCTGCCTGGAAAATTCCATGGACAGAGGGACCTGGGGGGCTACAGTCCACGGGGTCACAAGGAGTCGGACACGGCTGAGCACAGCAACAGTTCTCCCCCAAACTCCTCTCCCAGCCAGGCCGCCACAGGACCCTCAGCAGAGTTCCATGATATACCACGCTGAGGCTCCAGAAGCTCCAACAGCATTTCCAAGGTTATTGAAGACCCACGGTGGAATAATAACAGGTGAATTTATTTGGGGTTGAAATCCTGATCTCAAAGGCAGAGATGGTCGCCCTGCCCCCATGGCCCTGACCACCCAGGTCCTGGGAGTTGAGGCCGATCCCCGAACAGCCGCTCTGGAGCTGCTCAGCCTGGTGCAGACCATAAACTGCCCTGGGGGCACAGGCGGCTGTCTTGGTTCAGTACCCGACTCCCAGGTCACAGCCCTGGGGCCCTTTCCAGGAAGGCAGGCAGGAGGCACTGGGCCCCGGCAAGGTGCAGGCGGCCGAGGTTAACGACTCGCCGCAGCTCCTGGCGCCCTCAGCCAGCAGAACACTCTGCCTGCCTTTATCTTTGGCACTGAGTTCTTTGGGCAACGAGCCCAAATTTGAGGCCATAAATGGCTGGCCTTTGTGCCCCCAGAATTGCTTTCTCAAGGGCTGCTGATCCCTGACCCGGTTTGTTTGTTTATTGGGAGCATTTTTAGCTCGTACTCTTGCTCCCGGGATCACCAACTTTCCTTTTCAGTCCTCCATGTGAGTAGAAAGGAAACAGGGAGTGACACGCACATCCCTCGAAGGCCGGGGTAACTTTCGGGCAGTGTTTTATAGGCCACCGGGGTCAAGCTTCTGCCAACGACAACCCCGCCATGGCTGGCAGATGGTATATGAGCCGCATGGGGCCTGGCCAGAGGCAAGGATCCAGGTGTCCAGGGCCCACCACCAAGGATCCAGAGCCGGGATGGTCAGTACCATCATTTCTCTGAGCCCAGAGCCTTGGGCCCTAACGGGACACCTCTGTGTGATGTTTTGTGCAAGGTTGGGTGTGCTCCCAACTCCACCCCCCCAACTTCAGAGCAGCCCTGCCCCAGCTTCCTGCTCGTCTTAGAGCCCTTGGATCCTGACCCTGCTCCTCTGCTTCCCCCCTCCACTGTGCCTCACTTTCCACCTCTGTGAAATGGGGGTTAGCGAGAGTATCAAATCTGTCAGTTGGCCAAAGGATTAAATAAAGGGGGCCCATGGTAAGCACCCTGCAGGGGATGACAGTTCTTATTGTTGTTGTCGTTACCAGTGTTGGTTACAGCAACACGTGTGTCCACTGAACAGAAGCAGACACCCTAGGTGTCTAACCCCAACCGTAACCCCTGGGTAGTGGGTGGGGAGTGGGAACAGGGTGGACGATGCTGAAGCACCTGGGTTCTGCCCTGGGGCCAGGAGGGAGCAGTTACAGAGCCCAGAGAAGGGGCTGTGGGAGGGGGTTGCATAGGAGCCGTGGCCCTGGGGAAACGTGGGTCCCTGTCACCCCCCGGGGCCCAGCAGGAAGAACACCAGCCCCTCTCTCCTTCCTCACCCTCATCTGTCGTTGGCATCTCCCACTGGCTGAGCTCAGCTGTCACCCAGAGTCAGGAAGCCGGTAGCCATGGCCTCCTGGGGCAGAGAAACAGGTTGGGGACAGAGGATGGCTGGATCTGGGGGGTGGGAGGCAGGTAGACAATGGTCAGCACCGCTGCAGGGACCCTCATGTGCCTGGCCACCCCAGGTTCTGCAGCCTCAGAGGACCCCAGGCCTGGGTCTGAGGAAGCTGGAGTCTGTGGACCCGGGGGTTCCAGGCCTGGCCTCTCCTTCCCCCAGGCAGGCCGCTCCCTGCCCCCGGGGCATGTGTGGATGGGCTGGGTCATCAGCCTTGGAATGGACTCCAGTGGAAGTTGACCTTTTGAAGCAGGGCTTTGTGCTCTGAGTCAACACCTCCTGAGCAAGAATGTGACAGTCAGCAAGTAGCAGGAGCTGCCGTCTGGCCAAGGCACCCAGATAGCTTCCCTGGGATCCCCAAGGAAGATGGGCCCAGGCCAGAGGGCTCATCCCGTACCCCCCGGGCCAGAGGGGTGATCATCTCTAGCCCCATGTTTCTCTTTGGTACTGAATTGTTGTTCAGTCGCTAAGTTGTGTCTGACTATGACCCCGTGGACTGCAGCTCAAACTCATGTCCACTGAGTCAGTGATGCCATCCAACCATTTCAGCCTCTGTCTCCCCTTCTCCTCCTGCCCTCAATCTTTCCCAGCATCAGCGTCTGTTCCAATGAGTCGGCTCATTGTAGCAGATGGTCAGATATCAGTGTTTCAGCTTCAGCATCAGTCCTTCCAACCAATACTGAGGGTTGACTTCCTTCAGGATTGACTGGTTGGTTCTGCCTGCAGTCCAGGGGACTCTCAAGCGTCTTCTCCAGCACCACAGTTCAAAGGCATCAATTCTTCAGTGCTCAGCTTTCTTCATGGCCCCACTCCCACATCTGTAAACGTGACTTCCGAAGAAACCACGGCTGAGAAGCGGTTAGAAATCAGACTCTGAGCAGCTCCTGCTGTCACTTTGCCAGTGGAAGAGCCACGGTGGAACCATTTTTGCAAGACCGAGATTTTTGTCCTGGCCTTTTGTACTAATGATTGGGGGCCATCAAAGCTGTGCAAATTGGATTTTGGACAGTTGCAGAACTGCTTCCCCAAGATGGCCAGAGGCACTGCAGAGATGCACAAATGGGTCTCAAAGCTGGAGACTGTGACAGCCACCCCACCCAGGAGATCGTGACCTGGTTCAGGTAACCCCCCTTCCCCAGAGGCTGGGGTCCTTACCCTTTAGGGGTCATAGATCCTTTTGAGAATCTGATGAAAGCTACAAAACCTCTACTCAAAAGAGGCAATAGGCTTGTGCATAGACACAGTGCTTTTATGTGAATTCAAGGGTCCCAGGCTCTAGTCTTGACATCTGTGCCCTGCGTGGGGAACAAGCGCCTCACGGAGTCGGTCTGTGAGAGTGAGACCCCCCCAGGATGCCATCCTCGGCCCCACAAAAGGCTCACTTCCTGTGATGGTTCATTTCGTGTGTCCGTAAAATTTGGTATAGGGTGTCTTCCTTCTCATTCAGGTCAAAATACTTTCTATTTTCATTGATGATTTCTTTGTTGACTCATCATTACTTGAAAGCGTCTTATCTATTTACAAATATGGGAGGATTTTCTGGGTTAATCTTTCCATTACTGATTTCTAGTTTAATTTAATGTCAAGAGACATACCTGGTGTGACAAATTTTTTTAATGTATTGAGATATGTTTTATGGGTCTGCATATGGTCTACTTGGCAAATGTTCAATGTACAGTAGAAAACGATCTATATTTCATTTGGGGGGGATGGAGCATTGTACAAATGTAAATTAAATCTAGTTGGTTACCCAGTGTTTTACACATCTTCTATATGTATCTGTTCTGATATTAATATAGAAGCTTCAGCTTTCTGATGATTAATGTAAGCATGACATATCTTTTCCCACCGTTTTACATTTAATCTAATAATGTCTCTACATTTAAAGTAAGTTTCTTACATATGCCACATAGTTGGGCTTGGGGTTTTTATTCAGATTGGCAATCTCTTCCATTGAACTGGAATATTTTAGATCATTTACATTTAATGTGATCTTTGATGTAGTTATGTTTACACCCATTATCTTGCTATGATTTTCTGTTTGTCCCATCTACTTTTTGTTCCTGTTTCCCTAGTTTTATGCTCTCCTTTTGATTAATTTAGTACTTTTCATGATGTGTTTTTAACTCCTTTGCTGCCTTTTCAGCAATAACTCTTTGTTCTGTTATTTTGGTGGTTTCTTTACAATTTACTGTGTATATCTTAAACTTACCACAATCTACTTTCAATGCCTACCATATTATTTCATGTGTAGTATTAATATAAAACTCTGACAATATTTCTATTGTCAGAATATATTTTGTCAAAACATACTTCTGTATTTCTATTTTACCACTCCCCTTTATGCTCCTGAGACATCTTACTTCTACATCTACAAACCCCACACTGCATTGTTATTACTTTTGTTATATCATTAGTCATCTTTTAAAAGTATTTAAATAGCAAGAAACAAGTCATACATTTTCTCACGTAGTTATCTTTTCTGGTGCTTATCATTTCTTTATCTAGATCCTGAATTCTACCAGGTATCACTTTCTTTCTGCCTCAAGAACTTCCTTTAACATTTATTGGAAGGTGGATCTGCCTGTGATGAATTCTTTCTGCTTGCCTGTATCTGAAAAAACAAACAAACATATTTCACCTTTGTTTTTGAAAAGCATCTCACGAGGTAGAGACTTCTAGGTTGGTGGATTTTTCTTCCCATGCTTCCAACACATGGCTGCACTGTCTCCTTGCTCACTTGCTTCTGACAAGAAATCTGCTGTCACCCTTATCTTTGCTCTCCTGCACATGACATCTTTTTCTCTCTGCTTTTAAGATGTTCTCTGTATCACTGAAAATGAAAGTGAAAGTTGCTCACTCATGTCTGACTCTGTAAGACCCCATGGATTATACAGTCCATGGAATTCTCCAGGCCAGAATACTGGAGTGGGTAGCCCTTCCCTTCTCCAGGGGATCTTCCCGACCCAGGAATTGAACCAGGGTCTCCTGCATTGCAGGCAGATTCTTTACCAGCTGAGCTACCAGGGAAGTGTCTGTATCGCTAGTTTTGACCTATCTGATAATAAAGTGCTTTGGAATAATTTTCTCCATGTTTCTTATGCTTGGGATTCATTGAGCTTCTTGGATCTGTGGGTTTATACTTTTTATTAGCTTTAGGAAAAATTCACTCATTGTTTCTTCAAATAGTCCTCCTTTATTTCACCTCTTTCTTTGCCTTTGGGGACTCCAATTACATATATATCATACTTGTGTATCATCCATACAAGAACCAATACTGGTTTCACACCTAACAAAGCAGACATGCCCTTGACTTCTAGCTGACGAGAGCGTTGGAAGAGGAGGCCTAGATCTACCCTTCTGTTATAAACATGTTCCATTGCTGGGATTGGCTCCATCTGTGTGGTCCATGATGGTGGCCACTCATCCACCAGTGGCCATGGAGCTCTGAACTGTGGCAAGTTGCCTGAGTGTAAGACACACATCAGATCCTGAAGCCGCACACAGAAAATAAGAATGCAAAATGCCTTGTTAACAATGCTGTAGTGTAGATTGCATGTCTAGTGACAACATTTTGGATATGTTGGATTCAATAGAATATGTTACTAAAATTAACTCCACCTGTTTAGCTTTACTTTTAAAAATTATATTTCTATTATTATTTTAAAAATATTTTCTTGTATGTTTATTTCTATCTGGCTGCACCAGGCCTTAGTTGCAGCGCATGGGATCTCTGATGCAGCCTGTGAATTCAGCTGCAGCATGTGGGATCTAGTTCCTGGACCAGGGATCAAACCCAGGCCCCTTGCCCTGGGAGCATGGAGCCTTAGCCACTAGATCACCAGTGAAGCCCCTCATTTTCTTTTCTTTTTAATGAAGCTGTAAATAATTTAATATT